AAAAAAAAAAAAAGATAGGCACTGCTTCCATATTACCAGCTGGGGAAACTGAGGCTCAGGGAGGTTAACAGAATTCTCTAGGCTCACACAGCTAGGGATTTAATGCCCAGCCATGTCCCTATGTCCACTGCTCCCCACCCATTGCTCTTTTTTTATAATCATTGTCATCATTGTATTAATCATTAGCTTACATGTTTACACACCAAAGGCAAAAGATGACACTACTGTTTTTGGTATATGTTTCTCACATAGTTGAATTTTTATTGCATTTGTTCAATGTATATTATGTGCTAAGTGTCTTTTTTTTTTCTTTCTTTCTTTTTTGAGACAAAGTCTTACCCTGTTGTCCTGGGTAGAGTGCCCTGGTGTCGTAACTCACACCAACCTCAAACTCTTGGTCTCAAGAAATCCTCTTGCCTCAGCCTCCCAACTAGCTGGGACTACAGGCGCTGATCGTGATACCTGACTAGTTTTTCTATCTTTAGGAGAGACAGGGCCTTGCTCTTGCTCAGGCTGGTCTTGAACTCATGAGCTCAAGCAAGCCTCCCAGAGTGTTAGAATTATAGGCGTGAGCAGCTAGCTGCGCCTGGCCAAGTGTTTTTGATTTGATTCTTGCATGAAGCCCTGAGAAACAAGGTGACAGACCCAGCTGGTGAATGACAACCAGCATATGAACCCCGGCAGTCTGTCCTGAGAGCTTGAAGCCTGACTGTGTATCTTCCACATTACCAGTACAGTAGTCATAGTACCTAGTTTGTGAAGACATGCTGGGTACTGTGCTAAATGCTTTACCTTCAATCTTTGTAACAGCCCCATGAGGACTGATACATTTCCATTTTACTGAGGTGGACACCAAAGCTCCAAAAGGTGAAGTGACTAGTCAAGGGCAAACAGTCAGTCAGTAGATCTGGGATGGAATCAATGAGCTATCTGTGTGTTTACCACTATTTTCTACTATGTAGAGCCAGTCCCCAACTACCAGTGGCTTGACATATAATTTTTTGACTTTATGATGTTGCAAAAGCCGTATGCATGCAGTAGAAACTGTACTTCACATTCTAAATTTTGACCTTTTGCCAGCCTATATTATATTCTCATGCTGCTGGGCAGCGGCAGCGAGCTGCAGCTCTCAGTCAGGCGTGAGATCGTGAGCGTCAACAACGGACACTTTATAGTGCATTAAACGCATTTTTGACTTGTGTATTTCAACTGATGATGAGTTTGTCAGAATGTAAACTTATAAGGCAAGAAGCATCCGTACTTATACTCCAATGCTATTACATGTCTTTGTAAACATCACTCAACCCTATTAACATTTAATTTTAAAAGTATTATGTATCACAGAAAACAAAGAAGAAATAAAAATCCCCCATATGCCAATATTGCAAGCTAGCGTCTGTTGACATTTTGCTGTATCTTTTTTTCTATCTTTTTCCTATGCCTATGTTGCATGTATCAGATTTAATAATTTGCTTTTTTGGCATTTAAAAAAAATATTCATGGGCAGCGCCTATGGCTCAGTGAGGAGGGCGCTGGCCCCATATACCAACGGTGGCAGGTTGGAACCCGGCCCCAGCCAAACTGCAACAACAACAACAACAACAACAAAATCTTCCCACTTAGTTTGCTAACACAGAGTGCGAAGTCTCTTTTCGTACCTCCTGGCCCAGTTGCCCTTCACCTGGAGATAGCCACTGTTGATGGTTTGTGACCTTGAGGTATCCTTTTTAAGGGCCTCTGGGTATATAAACATCTATGCAGTGAGCGTTTTTATATATAAACAAGCTCATACTTATGCCTTATTGTTCTAGGATCTATACTTTTTTGTTTTTTAAGCTCTATAGTATTTGAAGATCTTTCCAGGTTGGCACACATCGTTCTGCTAACTTTGTGCTTTTCCTGAACCCTGCGTCATAGCTGTCTATAGACATATTTGTCACAGCCACGGGCGCTGTCAGGATGAGAAGATGGACTGGAGCTTCCTTCTCTCATTTCCAGCCACCGTAGTGTAATTAGGAACACCAAGTCCTAAAGGCTGATAGACTGGCATTCAGTCCTGGCTTTGCCACTACCTGAATTACCTAGGCAAGTGGCTTCGTCTTTCTGGGTGTAATTCCCACATCTGTAAAATGTGACTATCAAACGTATTTTCCTCCTAGGGTGTAGTAGGGATTAAATGAGATGACCCGTGTTTGGCACTTAACAAGCACTTGGTATCAGAAAAATACTCAAAAATGTTACCTGTCATTGACATATACAATTTTGTCCTGCTGTAACTGAGGCTAGGGTGAACAGCCCTGTGTCTCTGGCTTCTCCCCACTTCGTCTGATGTATTTGGACCAGATGCCCAGAATGGGATTTGTGGGTATGCAGTGTTTTGAGGGGCTTGTTTGAGTGTGGTGGGGGAGCCAGGTTCCTGCCTGGCTTGACTGGAAGTGCCCAGGACTGCTCTCTCCTCCAGGCTCCATCCTCAACTCGGTGGCACAGCCCATCATTCCACAGCTTCCCAAATATCCGTTGCCATGGCAACTGCTACCAGTTGAGAAGAATCAAGGCTGGGCTGTGTCAGGGATGGGCAGGTGGCGGGGACAGGGCTGAGTAGGGTGTGGACGACCATGGGCGCGGTGCCCAGCTGGTCTGAGCCCAAGTTAGGGCCCCAGCACCTTCCCCTGGAGGCAGCCTGGCTTTTGGCAGGGGCACACAGAGGAGTTCAAGGTCAGGCTCTGCCTTCCTCCTAGGGGGTGACTTCAGATAAGAAATGTCTCTTTTCCAAATCTTAGTTGCTTCCTCTGTGAAATGGAGACAGAGTGCTGGGACCCAGAACTTCGAGGAGTTTGGGATGAGAGGCTGGTTGTGTTGAATTCTTCTGGTTTGAAATAGCCTCTTTCAGGGTGGTGGAGAGAAGGGCTGAGATGCCATTCTCTTGTCTGTCCTGAGCACCACAGTGACCAGGGAGGTATGGGGCTGCTCTGTCGGTGGGCATGGCAGAGTGGGGGGAGCTCTGCCAGTGCCCCTTGCACTCCCCTCAGTGTACTCATCACACCTGTGAGGCACATGGCGCCTCTGGCTCCACCCAGACTCCCAGGTTGCAGCTGCAAAGTGGCAGGATGTGAGGGAGGGGCGAGTGTGTCCTTCCAGCAGGCAGACAGCCTAAGAAGAACTCTTTTTATTAGCGTGCTTACTACAGACCAGGAGTTTCATATATGTTATCTCATTTAATCCTCACAACAGCATTAAAAGCCAGTGTTAATACCTTCATTTTACTGAGTAAGCAAACTGGGATTCAGAGAAGTCAAGTGACTCACTCAAGGTCACACAGCAAGTAAGTGGTAAGTCAGGATTTGAATTGAGTCCTGTACGACTTCAGAGTCTGTGTTCTTACCCAGGCTGCTGATGGCTTGGCTAAGGGGGTTGGGTATTTATAGGGCTTGATTATAATTTGTTGAGTGAGGGAGAGGGGCTTCTCCAGGGATCTCCTGGTCTAGTGGGCGGAGACAGGCAAGTAGAAGAGAGTTGAAATACTAACTGAAGCCCAGTGGACCATGGATGCCCAGAGGGAAAGGTAGGGCAGAGGAGGGGGCTGGTCAGGGCTGGGTCTGGGCAAAGGAAGTAGGTGTTCAGCAGGCAGAGAAGATAGGAAGGGCACATCAGGAAGAGGGCAGCAGATGTGTGCAAGGCTACTGAGGCAGGAGGCGGTGTGCAGGGTCACAGGAGCAGAGCAGTAGGTGGGGCACAGCCAGGGGAGGATAGCGAGGTGGGAGAGATGCAAAGAAGACACTGCTTCAATGGACGTGGAGAGAATGGGTGTGCTCCAGGGTCAGGGGGTTCTCTCCAGGGCAGGAGCCAAAGAACCTCATCAACATCAGTGCTGACAGAGTGAGCTTGTTATGTTCTAGGCACTATTCTGAGAGTCTTGAATAATGATGATAACCCTTGCATCAACACTATGAAGGAGTTAGTGGGTACTATCCTCATTTTACTGATAAGAAAACTGAGGCACAGAGAGATTGAGTAACTTTTCCAAGGTCACACAGATCCTAAGTGTTGGCAGCCAGTATACTATTCTATGAATATACCGCAGATGGGCATTGTGGATTATTTGCAATTTCTTGCTATTTTATATGGTGCTTCTACGACCATTTTTTTTTTTTTTTGAGACAGAGTCTCACTGTCACCTTCAGTAGAGTGCTGTGGCATCACAGCTCACAGCAACCTCAAACTCTTGGGCTCAAGCAATTCCTTTGTCTCAGCCTCCCAAGCAGCTGGGACTACAGGC